AAATACACACAAATCCTATAACCAATCCTAAGCCTATTAGCAATAAATGACGAAACCAAAATCCGTCAGGAAGCCAGGAAAAAAACGATTCCCAAGAGTCAGGACTGGGAGGATGTGAGATCGGATTTTGTTTAACCATGGCTTCCATTTCATTAATAGTTGTAGAAATACTAAGATTATAATCTTTATATACATACAGCAGTGTGATAACACTAACCCACACACCCTCCCTTGGAGGCCAAAATGGTGTCCAAAGCATAGCGATTCTGCAGGGTAACCTCACGAATATGGGACATTTCTTGGTTAATGACTTTCAAGGCTTTTATAGTTGCATTGAATAGCCCTTCTGTCCAGTTGGAGAGTCTGTGGAGGTCCCTGTAATTCATGGCAACACCAAGAGGGGGCAGGGCAGCCCTAGCAATTGCAGTTTCAGCATAATGAACTATAGGAGCGTTAGCATCTCTCTTATTGCGAAGCCGAAGCGAAGAAATATTGTCTAACTTATAAATCAATGGAACTACAATACCAAGGGTGCAAATCCCTGAAAAACTTTTTGGAATTTCCTTATAGGCTTTACGTCCGCAGAAAAGCCAAAGATCATTCTGTAAAACCATGGATGGCTTACTACTCTTTTTCATCCACCATATCCATCCATCAAAATCATTGCACATTGCATGCTGGCCCCATGTCATACGGTGGGTAACATTCCCTATAACTACTGGTGGCCTTCCACTGCGTGTGGTTGTGTTCAAGAAACAAGAGGAGGTATTGACATATTCATAAGTCCAAGCACAATTAGGGTCGTTCCCTAGAAATACAGATGTGTTATGTTTAAACTTAAAACACCTATCTGCTGGTTCTAACAAGGTCAATACCACTGGTGGAAAACGTGTGCGGTTAATCTTGAGATTATTACTTATCTTAAAAGAATCATTAATGGGGATGCCATGCAACAATATGCCAGAGCGTCGAACCTGTGGAGGAATGTGCATACAAATCCAACAATTAGTATAATTCAAAATCTTTGACAATTGAGCCATGTCTTTTACAAAGGTATTATCAGTCCAGAGAGCATGATAGTCCTCTGAACGATTAATTTTAGACAAAATGCTGGGATCATGGCTAGCTGAGCGTCGATGTCTTCGAAAGTGCTGTGGATGCAGCCAGCCGGTAGAATTTTTTTGTTTTGGCCAATGTTGCAGGAACCAAATGAGCTGTGCAGGTGGGCAATATGGGTTATAAGGGAAAAGGACAGCAACTGCCACCTCTTCACAGCCTCTGTGAAAGAGGGTGGCAACATTTCCTTTTTTCAGAAACCAAAAACCTGGTTTAGTCCAACAACCAGTGCGACAGACACATGATCCCAATTGACCAATGTAGGCTTTGTTAATTGGTGACAGGGAATGTTTGAAAGACCATTCCCAATTTGTGGTGGGAACACAAATAGGGGTACTATCACGGGGCGGCAAAACCCATGCCAGACCTGTATATCGCGGGCATCCTTCATAGCCAGGAGAGTTTCCTAAGCAGGCAGCGGCAAAACCATAATGAAACCTTTTTGTGTGGTTCCAGGAGCGTCGTGGAGCTTGCAAAGAGTAAGGTACAAGATGGTTTGGTAGTTTTGCAGGAAAGACTGGTATCGCTGTTACAGGTGATTCCAACCACGGCACGTTCAGGGTCAGATGGCGATGTCTCCAAGTGCAGTAGGGACTCAGGGCTGCAGGAAGGCGACGTCCGCCAGAGAGGGTGAAGTATGGCTCGTTGCTGCTTTCACTTCCGAGGCAGAAGCTCGCCAGGGTCGCACACAGCGCGCTGGTAACCAGGTAGGCCGTCCATCCAGGTCCACTGCCGCGTAGCCGCGTCCCCAGGAGATGAGTGGCACAGGACCATGCCATGTTGGATCAGGTAGCTGTCTGTAAGACACAAGAGGCCGAGCCAAAGGCTCTGCTTTTCGAAAATGAATCTCAGCCGGTGTATATTCCCTATTATGGGGATACAAAAGATGGTTAAGAGTGAATAAAACAGTATGCACAATTGAAGGAATCTCGGCGGAGGGGCATTTCGACCTCCAAGTTGTTTGGACAGCAGTGTCTTGAAGGTCAAGTGCGCCCTCTCCACAATCGCCTGTCCTGTTGAATTAAAAGGCAAACCATGGATTAATTTCACATTCCATAAATCACAAAAGGATGAAAACTGAGAGGAAATATAGGCTGGGCCATTATCCGTTTTAATGCTTTGTGGCTTACCCATCACAGCAAAACAGCGCAGGATGTGCTGAATGACGTGACGAGCGGTCTCACCCTTCAATGGGGTGGCCCAGATAAATCCAGATGAGGTGTCCACTGTCAAGTGAACTTTTGAGAATGGGGCGAGCAGAGGGGTGTGAGTAACATCCATCTGCCAAACCGCAAGAGGGGACGTACCCCTAGGGTTCACCGCATCAAAGGGAATCATGGTTGGAGCCTTAGAACAGGTAGGACATTGAGAGACAATGTCTCGTGCCTGTGCAATAGGGATTTTAAACATTTTTGCCAAAACTTTAGCAGGCTGGTGAAAGGTAGAATGAGAGAGAATAGGGTCAGAAAACAAGGAAAACACTTCAGATCGCAGTGCAGCGTCTGCCACGGCATTTCCCTGAGCCAAAAACCCTGGGTGATTGGTGTGGGAACGAAGGTGTGCAACATAAAAAGGATGACGGCGTTCTTGAATAATATACTGCAAGGTAGAAAACAGAACAAACAAATCAGCATCTAACGCAGGCGTGATATAAGAAACAGGCAGGGAAGACAGAAGGCGATACACATATTGTGTATCAACAAGCAAATTAAAAGGTTTGTCAGGAAAGAGTTGAAAGGCAAGGATTACAGCAGCAAGTTCAGCCCACTGGGCGGACCTCTGTTGCTCAGTAAATTCAGTTTTCCATTTTCCACCCTCCTCCCATGCCACCACCCCCCGCGTTTTTGACCCATCAGTGAAAAGGGTAAGGGCAGAGGGGATGGGGGTCGGAGAGAGAGCAGTTTTTAAAGTATAGACAGTTTGAGAAAGAAAAGCCAAGCGTGGATCAGAGGGGGGATTATGCGTGATGGTTCCCAAAAAATCCACAAGTGCTACTTGAGTAGCCACGGAGGTGGAAATCAGGTGTTGTGTTTCTGTGAGTGAAAAAGGCAGGTAAATTTTTCAACGTCCAGTCCAGAGAGGGCTTTTGCTCGACGCGCCCTTTAATTACCAAATCCATTACAGCCGCTGGAGAGGAATAAATGTTACGCGGTGGAGTATGCGGAAGGTGGATCCATTCCACAATGTTGACACCCGAGGGGGCAGCCGATTTCTGTGAGTAGAGAATGGCTGTAGGCAGCAAAGACGTGGAAAAAATTGCCAAGGATAACTGCACATTGTGCAGAGTGTCTATGCGATCCACCATTCGGTCTCTTAATAAAGCATTAACCTGTGGTAAGGCTTGTAGCATTTCTTCTGTAACTGGGATGACTTCTCCGGGTAGTTTGTGTCCTTGTAAGGCAGAAAACAATGGTGACAAGGTGCTAGTAGGCAGATTAAGGTAATTCTTAATCCAATTCAGGTGTCCCAAAAGTTGTTGAAGGTCAATCAGCCGTAGGCGGGCAGGAAAAGACAATTGGGGAACAACCGGAATAGCAGCTTGTTGTGTCAATTTATGTCCAAGATATAACATAGGCAAAGTTTGCTGAACCTTATCTGGGGCAATACACAGTCCAAAATCTGTCAGGGCAGATGTAAGGTCTCTTAATAATTCCACTGATATGTGCTTCGCAGCCACAAGGATATCATCCATGTAATGAAAACAAATAACCTCTAGGTGGCGCTGGCGGAAAGGTTTTAGGGCTAAATTGACAAAGTGCTGGCATAAAGTTGGAGAATTTCTCATACCTTGTGGCAGAACAACCCATTGGTAGCGTTCAGTTGGCTGAGCATTGTTGAGAACAGGCAATGTAAAGGCAAAACGCTGACGATCTGCCGGGGCTAGTGGTATGGAAAAGAAGCAGTCTTTTATATCTACCACCAGAAGTTTGTGGTCTTTTGGTATCATATTAAGATTAGGAAAACCAGGCTGTAATGCGCCCATAGGTTGCATCTGGTTGTTTACCATCCTTAAATCCTGAATGAGCCTCCAATGGCCAGAGGTTTTCTTTTTGATGACAAAAATTGGTGTATTCCATGGGGAGGAAGAAGGCTCTATGTGTCCGAGGCGAAGTTGTTCCGAGACAAGCTGGGCCGCCGCTGCAAGTTTGTCTTTAGTCAGAGGCCATTGCTCAACCCAAACAGGCGTGTTTGATGTCCAGGTGAGGGCTAGCGTGGTCCTCGGGTGTGCAGGGGCGGCCCTTAGAATAAATTTGTCTGAATGGAAGAGCCTGAGGCTTCAAGAACATCCCGTCCCCACAGACATACAGGAATGTCCAAAATTAGAGGATAAATGGTGACAGAAAGACCCGAAGGGCCTTGAATCATAATTGGGTGAAGGCTTTGACAAGCTGGCGTTTCTCCCCCGACACCCAAAACTTGGGCAGCTGCCTTCGTGGGCCATTCGGGAGGCCAGTCTTGTTTAGCAATCACAGTAACGTCTGCCCCTGTATCTAGAACCCCCTCTACCTCACGTCCACCCAGTGTCATTTTTAATGTAGGGCGCTGAGCTGTGAGAGGCATTGCAGCAGCAATTAAGGGGGTATCTGTAGGAGTTGTGGCATCCGCAGGGAGCAGTATGACTTTAGCCACTGGCGTGCCAGATGGGAGATGGCAGGGACGATCAGCATATAGCGTAATGGTGATTGAATTATAGGGTCCTTGAATGGTTCCAGGCACAGCATATACCCCAACAGTTTGTGCAGAGGCAAGTGGCAAGACAAGACAACGTTGAGAATTGTCTATAGCAAATCCACAGGCCATAACCAAGGCTTTGTGAGGACAAAATGGAACCGGGAATCGTACATCCTGAGTGAGAATAAGTTGTGGCATCAGACATTGTCCCCCTATTGATTTACTGGGGCCCGGGGAGGGCCCGTCTGCCGGTTTCCCTGGTTCTGGGATGATTGTCCTTGGCTAGAGGTTTGATTCTGATTAGCAGGGTTTGAGTGGCATTGATTTGCCCAATGAAAGCCTTTCTTGCAGATAGGACACTTAGAGGGGGGGCGCTTTCCAGACTGACTGCCAGTGGAGCGGCATTGTGCGCGGAAATGGCCAGGCTTATTGCATCCAAAACAAAGTTTGTCTTTCATAGGGTTGGCAGCCTGGGATAAAGCTGCGGCAAGTAGCCGTGCCTTGTGGCTTTCTGAGCCGATGGACTGACAAGCCTTTAGCATGTCGGCTATGTTTATCCCTTGCTGGCTGATCAGAGGGCGAAGTGCCACTCTACAATCCTCATTTGCATTATCAAAGGCAAGTTGTTTCATGATCACCTCCTGAACTTGAGTGTCTGCTATTTGGCGCTTCAAGGAGTCATATAGGCGATCGATAAAGACAGCATATGGCTCATTTGGACCTTGGCGAACAGTACCCCAACGGGACGTACTGTCACCCTTCGTGTCAGGCACCTTTTGAAACGCTGTCTGGGCGCAGTGGGTAGCAACTTCCCAATATGCAGCGCCTGCAGCAAGCTGTTGGGCGATGGTAAAAAAATTGCCAGTTCCAATAAGACCATGCATAACGTCTTGAGGAGTAAGGACTGGAGGAGGGGGGGGAGGTGCTCCTCCTGCGGCAGGTGCTGGAGCCGCGGCCGCCGCTGCTGCTGCTGCATTGTTTAAAGCCATGGCAACATTTGGGGCTTCTTGTTGGCACAGAAATTGCCATTCCTGCATAAATACAATGACTCCAGATGGTGGCAGTATGGTCCTAGCCAACATTTTTATGTCCTCCGGAAGACAGGGCCGCTGAAAAATAGTGTTCAGCAGACCCAAAGTATAAGGAGCCTGGATGCCGTTTTCTGGACGGAGTCATGCACCTCTTTAATTAGTCTATAGTCAAATTGTTCATGACGAGGTGGCCCTCCCCCTGGTCCAGCAGGTACCAAGACAGGAAAAAGTTCTGTGCCAGATGAAAAACCTAAGAGGGGGGCTGCTTGTTTAATAGCAGTCCCCAGTGGCGTCGGTGGGTGCGATTGAGGATTAATGGGTGGAGCAGACGGTGCCGGTGAAGGCTGAGAATCTGGCGGTCGTGGAGGAGGTGTAAAGGGTGGTGGTAGAGGCGGTGCATCTAACGCAGATGCTGTGTTTTGTTTTGGTTGCGACGAAGCCAAGAGAATGTTTTTGGGCGTAAGAGTTGCCATGCAGCCACGGACTTTAGCCCAGGCACTGAGGACGTGAACATTTATGCGGCCATGGCCATGAAAGTGGTCGCCAATTTTGTTCCAGGCTGGTATTTCCCATGTCCCATCCTCAGGGAATCATGGACAATGTTCATCTATTGCCAGAATCAATGCAATTAGATCACCTTCAGGTACTTGCTGTTTATTTTCCCGAAGGAGGTGCTGCATGTCTTTTAAAAATTGTTTCTGAGGGTTGGAGAGCGCAGAACCCATGATAAAAATAGAAAAATAGCTACTCACCGGGGATCCGAAGATGAGAGGCGCCTTGAGCCACAGCCGGGCGGGTGAGTAGCAGGGAGGACCGTCTTTGACAGCACGCGTCCTGGAAGCCGTTCAGGCAATCACACGAGGCACCATTTGTCGGGGAACCAGCCCACCAGGTGCGGAGGAAAATAACGAAGAGTCATGGGTGAAGGTTTAAGCAAGGAGTGAGCCCTGTCCCCCAGCAGCCTTGCATGTTTATTAGCCTTGCGCACATTACATCATGTTGCATATACACGTGTAGCACTCGGGTGGAAAACAGCTAGGGTTTGCATTTCTTAGAATAACTATTCTCTACCAGGACATAACTCCAGACAGCATGACAGCCTTGCGGTTAGGCAGCTTGTCAGTGACCTCGGCGGTGGGGGAACAAGTCAGCAGATGTTTCCTCTTGCACAATCTTGCACAAGGGAGCCGTTTTTCTATTGCACCCCCACATTCTAGCATTCCTGTCACATAAGAGGATTTTAGACCAGAATCAGCAATGGCTTTCCTTAATTCTCTCATTACAGAATAAGGAAGTGCCTCATAAAAAACCTGCTGTTGAGCAGTTCCAGGGTTTGAATAGGTGATAGGGAAAGCAGACGGCATTTCACCTGGCCACTCAGACTCCTCCTCTAAGGACAGGAGCCCTTTCTGCCTGGCCAAAGAAAGCGCAGCGCGCACAGCTCCTATAGAGCAAACAGGGGCTGTGGCAGGCGGAGGAGGGATGGGGGGGGAGGAAGCAGGCTGAGGGGGAGGGATGGGGGGGGAGGATGCAGGCTGAGGTGGAGGGATGGGGGGGAGGATGCAGGCTGAGGAGGTTGAGATGCAGGGAGGGATTGGCTGGGCTGCAAAGGAGAAGGAGACAAAAGCTTTGGGTAAGGTGGGGGATTGTCTGCGATGGCTAGAAGGGGAGACGCCGAGGGAGACACCTTGGGTCCCAATAATTGGGGCCCTAATTTAGCAACGGCGTCTGCACATTTCTGCCAAGTGAGCGGACAATGAATCGGAGCCCTAGGTTCTGTAAAAAGGGTCTTTCCGATCTTTTGCCAAGTCTCTACCTCCAAAGAACCAGCCTCTGGATAGAAGGGACATTCTAAAGCGATCTCACATAGCAATTGTTCAATTTCTTTTAAGGAAATATTAACACCCACCGCTCGCTGTCTAACTAAATAAAGCAATTCTTTAGCATGCTCTTTCTGGAATTTAGTCAATTCCCCTCCCATACTCACGAAGTAGCGCGCTGAGACTTTTCCAGTCGGGTGAAGTATGAGGGCTGGCTGCGTAAGGGATCTGGCACGTCGGGGGTCACCAGATGTTGGGTTGAAATCACGACAGACGAGTGGTAGGTGTCATATGAGAGGTGTCTCTCCGGGGCGAGCCCCGGGAACTCTCTTTTATTGAATATTACAAACATTGCCACAGGTGTGCTTGTGGCTGATTGGTTGATACAAACACAAAGCAACTTGTTGCTGATTGGTTAACATAGGTACAAGGCGGGAATTACATATTACATTAATCACTGATAGATCAAAGGCTGAGAAATGGAGCTGGAACTAGACAGGCATGAAACCTCCTAATTAAATTATAACTAAAGATTGATATTGAAAGAACATAACATGAAAGAATACAACAATCACGTTCCGTAGATGTGGTCAGCAATGCATTAAGAACAGGTCAGGATACACTGTTTCATGAACTCAATGGGAACTGAAGAATGAGAGAATGTCTTGGTGTGTTTGGGTACAGTGTGTGCAGAAGCAGAAGCGAGACTTCCCAGAATGCAAGAGAAAAGAAGCAATAGTTCTCATAGTAAGACTTTCCCACAATGCCACAGTTATGTGCAGTAAGAGAACTGCAGAAAGAAAACTTCCCTTCATTATTCATTTTGGTTTTGGAAATACTAAATCAAGAAATCAGACTAGACCAAGAAATAAATGGAATATCCTTAGGGGAGAAAATATATAAAATAAAGGCATTCACAGATGATTTCATGTTAATGGTGGAAAACCCAAAGGAAAGCATAGCAAAGGCTCTAGAAAAAATGGAAAACTTCAGAAAAGTTTCAGGTTTTGCTTTGAATAAATAAAAAATGAAACTAACGGTAAAAAACATAGGAGACCAAGAGAAAAAGGAACTGGTAGAAAAATCTGGATTACAAATTGTAAAAAAAGTGAAATATTTAGGAATTCAAATAACAATGAAAAATATAAATTTGTTTGAAGATAATTATTAAAAAATTGGGAAGAAATAAAAAGAGAAATGGAAATTTGGACAAGATTGAATTTAACATTCTGGGGTAGAATTTCGGCTATTAAAATGAGTATCTTACCAAAATTCCTGTTCCTTTTTCAAATGATCCCCATAATAGGTAAAGATGATTGTTTTAAAAAATGGAAAACGGACCTAACAAAATTCATATGGCAAGGCAAAAAGCCACGGATCAAAGATAAATTATTAACCGACATAAAAGAGCGGGGTGGGTTTGGACTCCCAGACCTGAGAATATATTACGATGCGGCATGCTTTAGTTGGATCAGAGACTGGATTACATTAGATAATAATGACATTTTAGATTTGGAGGAATGGAACAACAGATACAGTTGGCATGCCTATCTAATTTACAACAAAGTGGCGGTGCATAAAGAATTTTTAAGTCACGTAATTAGAAATTCATTATATAAGGTCTGGGGGGGACATAGAAGGCTGTTAGAACCAAAAACCCCATGGTGGGTTTCACCGTTAGAAGTAATATCGGTTAAAAAGAAAAAAAACGATAGGAAGAATGGCGACATACCAGCAGCTCCTAAAGGAGGAACAGGGCCAATTAAAATTAAGACCATACGAAGAGGTGACCCAATACTGCACCACATGGTTACAATATCATCAAATTGCCCAAATATTTAATCAGGATAAAGCAATAGGATTTGAAAAAGAAGAATCAAAATTACAAAAAGTATTATTACAAAACTCGAAAAAGAGTATATCCAAAATGTATAATTTATTATTAGAATGGGAGTTAAAGAATGAAGAAGTAAAGTAAGTTATGACTAAATGGGCATGCGTGGGATGCGAGTGGCGCTGTGGGTAAAACCTCAGCGCCTAGGACTTGCCGATCGCATGGTCAGCGGTTCGAATCCCCGCGGTGGGGTGCACTCCCGTCGTTCGGTCCCAGCGCCTGCCAACCTAGCAGTTCGAAAGCACCCCCGGGTGCAAGTAGATAAATATGGACCGCTTACCAGCGGGAAGGTAAACGGCGTTCCGTGTGTTGCGCTGGCTCGCCAGATGCAGCTTGTCACGCTGGCCACGTGATCCGGAAATGTCTGCGGACAGCGCTGGCTCCTGGCCTATAGAGTGAGATGAGCGCACAACCCTAGAGTCTGGCAAGACTGGCCCGTACGGGCAGGGGTACCTTTACCTTTACCTTAAATGGGCATGCAATATAGGTTACGTAATTCGGCTGGACCAAAGGGAGAAATTATGGAAATGTGATATTAAATTTATGGCATGTTACACAATCAGAGAAAATTTGATGAAAATGGTGTACCAATGGTACTTAATTCCGGTAAAATTGGCTAAAATTTACAAATTAAAATCAAATATCTGTTGGAGATGCAAGAAAAAAATAGGAACAATGTTTCACATGTGGTGGGAATGCCGACCTATTAAACAATTTTGGAATGAAATATATGAAGAAATCAAAATGGTGTTTAAAATATATTTCAGTAAAAAACCGGAGGCATTTCTTTTAGGTATAATCACAAACGATATTCCTGACAATCAAAGGAAGGTATTCCTTTATGCAACGACAGCTGCCAGGATGCTTACAGCAAAAAATTGGAAAGGGAGAAAAATTCCATCAATGAAAGAATGGCAAATTAAATTTTGTGAATATATAAATCTGGGAAAACTCACAGCATTAACAAGGGGACAATCGGACCAGAAATTATTAAAAGAAAGGGGATGTGCTAAACAGTATATGAAAAAACATTGTTCTGGAGTAAGCATATCAGTATAATAATAATAATAGTATTATTAATAATAATAATGTATTAATTATACCCCGCCCATCTGGCTGGGTTTCCCCAGCCACTCTGGGCGGCTTCCAACTGAATATTAAAAACAATACAGCATCAGACATTAAAAACTTCTCTAAAAAGGGCTGCCTTCAGTTGTCTTTTAAAAGTAAAATAGTTGTTTATTGCCTTGACATCTGCTGGGAGGGCGTTCCACAGGGCAGGCGCCACTACCGAGAAGGGCCTCTGCCTGGTTCCCTGTAACCTTACTTATCGCAATGAGGGAACCGCCAGAAGGCCCTCGGCGCTGGATCTCAGTGTCCGGGCTAAACAATGGGGGTGGAGACGCTACTTCAGGTATACAGAACAGAGGCCATTTAGGGCTTTAAAGGTCAGTACCAACACTGAATCGTGCTCGGAAACGTACTGGGAGCCAATGCAGATCTCTCAGAACCAGTGTTATATGGTCCCGGCGGCCACTCCCAGTCACCAGTCTAGCTGCCGCATTCTGGATTAATTGCAGTTTCCGGGTCATCTTCAAAGGTAGCCCCACGTAGAGCGTGTTGCAGTAGTCCAAGCGGGAGATAACTAGAACATGCACCACTCTGCCGAGACAGCCCGCGGGCAGGTAGGGTCTTAGCCTGCGTACCAAGTGGAGCTGGTAGATAGCCGCCCTGGACACAGAATTAACCTGCGTCTCCATGGACAGCTGTGAGTCCAAAATGACTCCCAGGCTGCACACCTGGTCCTTCAGGGGCACAGTTACCCCATTCAGGACCAGGGAATCCCCCACACCCGCCCGCCCCCTGTCCCCAAAAAACAGTACTTCTGTCTTGTCAGAATTCAACCTCAATCCATTAGACGCCATCCATCCTCCAACCGCCTCCAGGCACTCGCACAGGACCTTCACCGCCTTCACTGGTTCTGATTTAAAGGAGAGGTAGAGCTGGGTGTCATCTGCATACTGATGAACACCCAGCCCAAACCCCCTGATGATCTCTCCCAGCGGCTTCATATAGATATTAAAAAGCATGGGGGAGAGGACAGAACCCTGAGGCACCCCACAAGTGAGAGCCCAGGGGTCTGAACACTCATCCCCCAACACCACTTTCTGGACATGGCCCAGGAGAAAGGAGCGGAACCACTGTATAACAGTGCCCCCAGCTCCCAGCCCCTCTAGACGGTCCAGAAGGATGTTATGGTCAATGGTGTCAAAGGCCGCTGAGAGATTCAGCAGAACTAGGAAACAGCTCTCACCTTTGTCCCTAGCCCGCCGGAGATCATCAACCAGCGCGACCAAGGCAGTTTCAGTCCCATGGTGAGGGATCCAAATGGTCCGCATCCTCCAGGCGTGCTTGGAGTTGTTCAGCAACCACCCGCTCAATCACCTTGCCCAAGAATGGTAAATTTGAGACTGGGCGATAGTTGGCCATACTGGCCGGGTCTAAAGATGTTTTTTTAAGAAGCGGTTTAATGACCACCTCTTTCAGCGGGTCTGGGAAGGCTCTCTCACAGAGGTAAGCATTCACCACCCTGCAGAGCCCATCTTCCAGCCCTTCCCGGCTCGCTTTTATCAGACAGGGTGGGCAAGGATCAAGGAGACAGGTGGTCGGTTTCACTTGTCCAAGCAGCCTGTCCACATCCTCGGAGGTAACAGACTGGAATTGACCCCATGTAACAAGACTAGACAGAACTCTAGCACTCTCCCGCTCTGGCCCTGCTCCCACGGTGGAGTCTACCTCCTTCTGAATCTGAGCGACTTTATCTGCAAAAAACTTTGCAAAAGCATTGCAGGAGATCTTGGGGTCCCTACCAGGCCCCGGTGGTGCAGGTGGTTCCGATAGATTGCGAACCACCTGAAAAAGTCTCCTGCTGCTGTTTTCTGCAGATGCAATAGAGGCGGCCACTTGGTGGGCTCGACGTTGAGCTCTAGCCCGTGTCCGGTCTGATTCAGAGTGAGTTTTCCACCACCGGCGCTCTAGCCGTCTCAACAATTGTTTCATCGCCCTCAGCTCCGGGGAAAACCACGGGGTTGTCCGGGCTCCATGCAATCGGAGAGGGTGCTTCAGAGCCAGACAGTCAATAGCCCTGGTTAACTCCGCATTCCAGCGGGCCTCCAGGGAATCAGCTGAGAGGCCATCAACTTGGATAAAACATCCCCTACCACTCTCTGGAAACCAGTTGGATCCATTAAGTAGCGGGGGAGGACCATCCAAATCGATTCCACCTCCCAGCAGAGGGGAAGGGTCGTGGAGAAGTCCAGTTGCACCAGGAAGTGATCTGACCATGGCACTTCTTTTATTTAGCTTTTAGTTAGTGTCAGATCACCAACATCCATAGAGGTAAATGTGGCTATGACTTGGGCCAAACTTATTCAGGGACAGCCCCATGGAGGCCATGGTTTCCAAGACGTCCCGAGCGGCCCCTTGTAAGGTCGTGTTGGCATGGATGTTAAAATCCCCTAGGACAACCAAGCTAGGTGTCTCCAGGAGCATATCCGCCACTACCTGAAGCAGCTCGGGCAGGGAATCCTTGGTGCAGTGGGGAGGTCGGTACACCAATAGGAATCCTGTGCTGCCCCTATTGTCCAACTTCCAAAACATGCACTCAGAGAACTGGGTCTACCCAATAGGACCCCTGGTGCAGACTAATGACTTCCTAAAAATCACTGCAACCCCCCCTCCCCGCCCACATGACCTGGGTTGCTGTGCGTAAGAGAAACCTG